CAATCTACTTCTGTAGTGATACTGCCTCAGAAACCCAAGGAGGGGTCGCTATGAGTCAGGTCTGACTCGACGGCACACAACAACAACAACAACATATGTATGTATATATATATGTATGTATATATATGTGTGTGTGTGTGTGTGTGTATACACACACACACACATCCACATACCTACCTACCAACTTATTTTTGCAGTCTTTTCTCAGATAAATGTGAGTTCCTGCCTTAAATTACACTAACATTGTTAACCTATTTTAAATTCCTATGACACAGCAAGAGTCTTATATACTTATAAGTTTTTTTTTTTTTTTCTTTTTTAATGCATGAGCTCTAAACTCGTTTCTTACTTTAAATAGATGTATATTAACTCTCCGTTTAGGCTGCAGGACCTCCTAGCTTAGTGTAACAGCCCAACAAAATAAGAGTGGATACAAACTCTGTAATTTACTCACAGGCATAAATGGATATATAAATGTAAAAATGTGCACAATATTTTATGCCATGCTTGGCTTCATTGTGACCTAATGTTTATAATATGTAAATAATGGCTTCCTTTTAAAGCAAAGAACTTTTAATATACAGATTCATCTGAAGTCCTTTTACTTTAATATAAACAGGAAAAAAAAAAAAGAAAAAAATTCTTTTGCCATAAATAAATACCCCTTGACAAAGGCAACCATCGAAGGGATTACAAATGACAGAAGTCAACAAAAACTTTCAATATCATACTTCTACTTTAATATGAAGATATTTTTATCACAGGAAAAGACTCAAGAAATGCTTTGATAAAAATAATCTCACACTATCTTTGAAGCAGTTTCATTCATTTTACTACCCACTGTGTATCTTATCAGAAGGCCAAGGGTAAGAAGTTTCCTAGTTATGATTAGGAAAGAATCTGATAGATCAGAAGACCCAATTGAAGTTGGACATAATAAGTATTAAAGTATTACATGACATTAATCCTGCCATTCCATTACTTTCTCCATCTTTGTGCACAGACTAATTATTTTGAAGCCAGTGTTTGAGAGAAAATAGAACATACTTACCCTGGGCTGGAGTAATCTCTTTATTGCATCAACAAGGCTGGCTCTGTACTGGTCCAGAAATAGGCTGACATGAAGAGAGCAGAATCCAGATTAAACTAGGTTTTCAATTCTAATGATATTAATGGAGATAAGTACAAGGCTAATTACACATGTTTACTCAAAACTAAAAAAGAGAAATCGTTTTCTTCTATTCAAGTTGTTCTTTTGGGGAGGGGGTGGAATATTGAGCCATTTGACTAAAGGCAAGTAGTCAGTAAGCAAGGGGCCAGGATTCACAGATGATTGGCCCATATGTTAATATAAAAGGGACAATTTCTAAACTATAGTTTGGGGAAATCATCTGGTGAGATGAAGCACCCCAGGCACTTCTGGTCATTACAGTTCAGACTCTCATTGTCCTGGAGCCTCTTCCCGCTGAGGGTGCTTTGAAACTCCCTTCCAAAAACAAACCATGAGACCTCTCACACTCCAACCACTCAACAGGTCATGATTTTGGTGACTAGGAATAGCACTGAAGTGAGTCAACCAGTGACCTAGGAGTAAATGGCTCCAAAAGCAAAGAATAGGCTTGATTGGTATGTGCCGTGGAGTCGGACCCGACTCATAGTGACCCCTCCTTGGGTTTCCGAGGCAGTATCACTACTGATAGTAGACTGCTCATCTTCCTTCAGAGGAGTGGCTGGTGGGTTTGAACCGCCAGCCTTCTGGTTAGCAGTCAAGTGCCTTAGGCACTATGCTACCAGAGCTCCTAAGAATAGGCTTGTTGTTGTTGTTGTTGTTGTGTGCCGTCGAGTCAGCCCTGACTCATAGCGACCCCTCCTTGGGTTTCCGAGGCAGTATCACTACTGATGTTGGATTGCCCAACCTTCCTTCCGAGGAGTGGCTGGTGGGTTTGAACCGCCAGCCTTCTGGTTAGCAGTCAAGTGCCTTAGCCACTATGCTACCAGAGCTCCTAAGAATAGGCTTAGGCATTGTTAAACCGAAACTGTGGCAACTCTGGATTTTTGTTTCCTTGATCTCTGTGTTGACTACTCCCCACCCCCACCCCAGTTCGGCGTGGCTTTTACTTTTCCATCTCTGGTCTTTGGAGAATTTCTGCTGTTTCTCCGTCACCGTTTGGTTGGGTTAGTCTGACTGTCTTCACCAGGCTTTGCCTTGGAAGTTTGGGACAGAGTTTCCTTATTTGGGACTTGCAAGTCTCAGATCTCTGAGTCTGGGTTACTTGGCACTAGATGGTGAAGAGTTAGCTGCCAAATTCCATGGGAGTCTTACAGAATCTAGAGAAAGCCCCAAAGCACACTGCCAAGTGAAAACAAAGCTGCTAGAATTTATCACCAATATCCATTAGTGGGGACCACTTATCTTCCGAATCTTATATTAGGATACATGCTCTGATAGATATGAAGTTTGGAGCACAGAAAATGCAACTGAAGCTTTGAAATCTAAACAGTCCTGGAAAATCCAGATGTCTGGTTGCCAAAGTCATGGGACTCCAACTGTCTATACATCATTAAAAAGAAGAAAAAGGGAAGGGAGAAGAGGATACTGAGCCTGTCCTTAGGGAGCTTACACTACAGTAGGACATGAGCCAGATACAAGTACATACAAATTAAATATAAATGTCAGAGTCAAACACAAATTTTAATAACAAAACCCCAAACGAACTGCCATCCCATTGATTCCAACTCATGGTGACTCTATAGGACAGAATAGAACTAAGGCTATAATCTTTATGGAAGCAGACTGCCACATCTTTCTCCCATGGAGTGGCTAGTGAGTATAAACTGCTGACCTTTTGGTTAGCAACTGAGTGCTTAACCAGGGCTCCTTAATAACAAAACAGTTAATACTGAGCTGAGTACTAGGTGCCAAGCATCCTTCTAGGAGCTTTTCATGGATAAGCTCACTTAATCCTTACATTATTTCCATGATGTAGTTATTATTATTCTCCACATTCTACAGTTCAGGAGACTGAGACATAGGCTTAGTAACTTGCTCAGAATCACACAACTGTTCAGTAGCAGATCTGGGATTCTCATCTGCATGGTTTGGACTGGTGAAGACAGTCAGACTAACCCAACCAAACGGTGACGGAGAAACAGCAGATTAGGGTTTACACAGCATGCTGTCTCTCACACCTAATTCCAATTGGTCCTAAGCACAAAGTAGAAGAGGGACACATGATAGGTTTAGGTAGTAGAGGCAGGTTGCCAGAGTGGAGTTAGGCAAGGTTTGTCTAGAAAGCCTTCCCTGGTTCCTTCAGTCCACCATGACCTCTTTGTTCTCTGAGCTCAGTACCATACAGTAGTGCATTTGGACATTCTCCCAGGTCTTGTGTTCCAGAGTTGACTCTTACCCAGACTTCAAACTCCTTGAAAGCAAGGAGCAGTTCTAATGTTTCTTTGCCTCTTCTATAACATTTGGAAAAGGGCTGAGAACATGGTAGACCATGATAGATTCCTGGGAGAGTGAAGAAATGGTCAAAGCTTCATGAGGGTGACACATGATCTTTAGCTTTAGACTGATCACCTCTAGGCTATGCTTTTACAAAGCAAAGCAAAAAAAAAAAAAAAAAAAGGCAAGAAAGCAGAACTATTTTTGAAAAGGTATCTTAGTCCACAGTATGATTTCAAATGCATTTATTTCGAAAGCAATGTGGAAGATTGCACCACTCACAACTTGGATTTCCCCTCTGGCAGGGAGCCTCTCACATCTCAGATAGAACACTCGGCATCAGCCATCCTATCCGGGCCTAAGCAAAGCCCCTGATCCCATTCCTAATGCTGCAGGTTGCAGTGGGTCCCTCTGGTTTTGCTTCCCTGTTCCTCATATAAGGTCAGTAAGTGTCAACTACTGCAGAGCCCTGCCTTACCTCTGTCTGAGTTCAGGGTGAGTAGCAGCTATCAGTAGGAGGTTTGCTGTTCTCCTTCAAGGGGGCTGCTGTATGGAGCTACACTTCAGATAAGAGAAGAATGTGGTTCAGGGTTTAGCAGAACACTCGCTCTGACCTTTCCGCTATGTGACTTTGGGCAAGTCACTTCGTTGAGGCCTCGGTTTCCTTGTCAGTACAGGCCCACCTGTCTGGCTGCAGTTAGTGCCAAATTTGTAATATATGTAGTTGACAAATATTTGGAAAACACCTACTACATGCTAGGCACTGTTTTTGGCACTGGGGATAAGGTATGAATAAGATAAAGGTCCCATCCTCAAGGAGTTTCCATTCTGTATTCACTTATGCGTCACTAGTTCCAGCACAGTGTACACACACAAATGGAGCTCCATGAATATTTACTTACTAAGCCTGACTGGCAGATCAACACAGTCCTTGGAATCAAGGCACTTAGGGGGTTAGTTTCAATGACCCTAAAATGGCTTGTAAGCACTCTTGTACTGGTGTTGTTAAGGATGAGTCAACATTTAGGTAGGATGTGTCAACTGGACCAGGCTCTTTTCTCATTTGATGTTTCTTTTCTAAGAATAAAGGAGTGGGAAGAGCACTTACTGAGAATTCTCCAAGAAATCAGTGCTTGGTTTTCTTAGGTTACCATGATATGCTCAGTGGAAGGTTCTTTTTTTTAATGGAAGGATGCTCGGAGCAATGGAAAAAAGTATTCTGTTCAGATGAGCTAGAAACCACATCCAGAATGGGAACCTTATCTCATTCCATCTATGAATATCAATCAGAATTACCTGACTGTGGCCCAAGGGAGAATTTTTGTATCTTTTCCATAAAACTACACAATTAAAGGCATTTAAACACACCTTGGAGCACATAATGTATCTAATTCAAATTCTATAAAGATTAGTCATTAAGTCATATTAAACAGTGACTAGTACCCATTAAGGACTGATGAGAAAAGAATCACATTGTAACTAAGTCTTTTTAAAAGTTTGCTCTTTAGGATTATCCACTTCATTTTTTTTTAACAAGGTAATAATACCTTAAATTTTAATAATTAAGCTTTTTTTTTTTTTTTTTAAGAAGGCTATCACTGTGGGAAACTACCTTTGTTACTCTGGCCTGTAAGAAACCTGGCTGGTTTGAATACATAGCATTCAGTAAAGCATCACTGTTTAGTGTATACCTGTGCATCCTAAGTACTGGTGAGATCATTAGAAAAAGTAAACAGCACCTTGAAAGCTGAGCTCATAAACATACTGAATGAAGTATTCTCCCTATTTAATGCTGGCAATGATGACAAAGATATTAACATCACAGCTCACTGGCAAATGCAGTTTAACACACAGCACCCACTCCAAAGACCACTATTTGAAGCGTGATGTTGTCTACTCCATCACTCCAAATCAAATTTCCCCAAAGTAACTCCTGTTGTTCTCTAATAAATCTTCGTTCCAAGCAAACTCACTCTTCTACTCAGCTCTGATGCAGAATTTATAACAATTTGTAGGATACATCCTATGAGCAATTGCAAAGTGCTTTAGTGGGAACTATATAAAATCTCCTGAAAATTCACCTCTTAAATAAGTCCTAATGGGCTCAGAGAACAGAGCAGTTGCTAAAGTGGATCTATTAAAAAAGGCTGAGTGGATCAGTGATTGGGATGGAGATACCATTTTAACTCTCCCTCCAGTTACTGATCAAAATACAGTAACAGTACAGTTTGGCCACTAAAACACACACGCACACACACAATCACACCTCTCTATAGAATTCATTTGTGGAATCAACACAAGGTTTGTTCCACTGATCTGAATCACAGATTTCTGGCAAGGGAAAGGTACTGGACCATTTTCTTTGCCTCCTTTAGACCCAGTCAGAGTTTTATACAGAGCACTTATTATTCCTCTCATTGGGAAATTAATTAGCACAGAGAAGAAGGAGACATCTCTCTCTGACACTATCCACAGAAAGGAAGATCCCTATGTAATTTTCAAGGTAAAATGTGCTAAGTTAAAGTTCCTGTTTTAGACTGAACTTTCATCAGTAGAATGACCTCTTCCAGCAGTTGCCAGCTGATTGCTGTGGGGGCTGGGGCTGTTGCGGGATTGTAATGTTACTCGGGCTCTACCCTTCTAGTTGTGAGATTTGGGCTGTTCGTGTATTATCTTTGGGATTGAATCTCCTCAAGTGTGAGGTGAAAGGGCTGACTACATTTGGGCTAAAGATTTTTTCAGGCATACAGGTCTGTGAGTTGTGATTTAGAGTTACCCATGATCGCAGTGTCTAGCAGAAAACAAAGAAATTCCAGAGCTTATTATATTTCCGTTTTGAGGAAAAAAGTAACATTTTCATAGAACAGTTTAAAAAACAAACTTTTAGAGTGAAGTAAAAAAGATGGGAAAAAAGTAACAATGCACTGTATAGTTAGCATAAAAACGCTGAGAAAGCAAGTGAGGTGGGGTACTACAGCGTGATGTACCTTCCCCCATTTCTTCCAAGGTCTCCAGCCACCTGGAACGTAGATGTGTGGACAGTTCTGCACCTTGATGGGCCAGTTATAGGCATCTCAGGCATGCTTCCAGCCTTTACAGCATTTGCCAGGACAGAGGCATGTCTATTTTTGCAGAGTGACAATAAACTGAAGAGCCATCAAACACTGAATGAAAGTGTTCATTGGATGACAAAGATCTTCTTCCAGATCCTTAGATTTTATTGTGATGGAATGGAAGTCTGGAAAGCTAGCCTTAAAATTAATTATCACTTACTATTCAAAATGGCAAGGAGACTGGACTAGACTGTCTTCCAGCAGAAAGGAATCCTCATATTAAATTTTACATTAAACAAGTCAACTGAAGGACTTAACAGGCAGTTTTTTTTTCCCTACACTTGTGGTTAAATATTCTAATATTTCAGTGTTTGTGAACAGCATCCTTTTGCAGGTATGGCTGTGTCCTCAATTTTTCCTTCTGTTTATATCAAAGTTGACATTTTATAAGTTGTCTAGCAACTGTTGAACCATGAAACTATTTTTCATTGTCAAAAATGCTGAATGGTGAAATAATGACTAGCTCTCACAGTTTGCCTCTTTATTTGATAATATACTTGAGCTCCTAAATTTAGATGTAAACTAAGAAACTGTCTCTTCTGAGAAATAAGTTATTTCCCCCACTGCCTATAGATTCATGAATGTCTGAATGTAAATATATGAATATATGAATGATTTAAGAACATAAACATAACACTGCTTGTTGTAATCATGTGCATTTTACTTGAACCACAATGTGGGTCTGCAATGGGTTTGTAAATAGAGCTTGTTTTCATGTACATGGGATCAAGCAGTACCACTGGTTAGTTATTCAGGGAATCAGACAATGCCAGCCTTGCTGGAAATGCTTCAATAAGCATTTAATCCATGTACCCAATATTTGAACTTCAACTCTTGCTTCATATTCCTGTTGCCTAATCCAGATCTTATTGACTGACAATGACTAAAGGATGGTGTGAGATTTAACTTGATCTATTTATGTGTGGCACCTATTTCTGGCATGGAGTATTTCAGGTTTCATCTTGGAGGTAGTGTCTAAAGAGAGCTTTCTTTGCTTCTCTGTGAGAGTCTTGAAAAAAATGCAGCATGGTCAGTCTGCCTGTCCCTGAAAGCAGCATCCATGTGATAAATGTGACAGAGAAATGCCAAACCAACAGAACATGAAGCACTTATGGACTCCTGTGCTTTGCTGCTACATGCACAACGCACATACTATAAACATTACTGTACTAAGTTTCTAAGCAGCTTACTTATCCTTGTGAATATGAAGAGAGACCATTACCAAAGCATTTCTTTTGGAAATAATATCAGCATCTCAGTGAGAGTAACTTGATGTTTCACATTCACAAATGGGAAATTACAAACTGGCTACCATTCTGGCACTTAAAACACCAGAAAAAGAAAGAAAGAAAAACAACAAAACTCAACAATTCCTGCATAGAAAAGCCATTTATAAAATGAAACTTGGTATATTTAGTTTGTTTGCATCCATAAATTCTCACAAAACTATAGATGTGTTTGTATACATACAGCTTTGTATTATGCATTTTTAATGAAAGCCTTAAACTGAGTATGCATTATGTATATCAGTTGTACATGGCCCTATTGTTGGCTAGGAGGGAAAAAAGATTATTTTCAAACATGTTCCATGGCTATTTTTAACCAGACTGAGAACATTAATCAGAAAAGAGCTTAAATCTTACTTTCTCTGCTTGTCTCTCTGGTACAAATAGGATGACATGGTGTGAGTGTCCATAATACGAGATATGACAGAGCCAGGCTGTTTTGATATTTGTGTGAAGGACAAATTTAACTCCAAATCTCTTGGCCAGACCTGACTTTCCCCACATAATCGGGAGCCCATCCGTGTTGAACCGTCGTCTAAACCTCCAAGAAGATGCTGCCCTCCTTCCCTCGTTCTGCTGCTCTCTGATCTGACTTTCATGCTTAATCTGATCTAATCCTTCCTGCATTATCTTCATCTGTGCAATGAAACCTGGAGGATCCTTTCTCAGATTTGGTGAGGAAAGGCATTTACTAAATTACTTGCTCAAATCATATGGTAAGGTTTTAGCTCTTTATTTTTGATTAGATGAGGGATGTGATGTTGAAGCAGAATATCAATGAAACATAAAAACATAGAAATCTATGTTTTGCACTTATTTGGAACAAGGATTTCTCAGGTTGAGTGCAAAGAGACTGAAAAAGCCATAAAGAAATAGAAAATCTCAGCTAAATATAGAAGAAAATATTTGTCATTTAAGAGTGGTCTTTAGAAGAAAAAAAAATTAAGTGCACTGACTTAGGTGGAAAAGTTACCCACTGAAAATCTTATTAAAATAAAAAGTTGACTTCATCAAAATTTAATCCCATTCATTTGACTCTCCTCTGGGGAAAGTGTCTGGGTTCAGGGTCTTATGTCTGGGCTTAGCAATGTAATAGAACTTCCTTAGAATCTGGACTTGTGTTTTCGTATCGAAAGTGTCATAAGAGCCATCATGATGAAACTACAAATAAGATCTTAGTCCTAACAACAGAGAGAATACTTGGGAATTGTCGGTATTTCCCATATGATTATTCAATATGCATGAAGAAGAAAATACAAATTTGTTGAAATAATGATTAAGGTTTGAGGAACATTTATCCTATGAGTTAGTATTAGACTTTCATTAACATAAAATAGACTGGGTAAAAAGAGAAGACAAATATCAAATGAAAATAAATATCTAAATTATTTTTTAAAAGCAGGCACCTGACAGAGATTTCAATGTTATTATTTGCATAAGAATAAAAAGGTAATTTTATAATTTTTGTTTTATGTATCATCAAATATCATAATTGAACACATTGAAAAGATTAGACAGCAAAGATATATTTTAAGGGAAGACATTTCCCCAAACATGTTCCACAGATACGTTTATTTGCTGGAGAGCATATAAGTGTGTACACACATACATATTCCCTTATATCAATAGTCAGATCTTTCCTAAGAAGTAAGCTAATTGAGCTGTTTGTGTTGATAAACTCCTTTTTCTCCAGACTATTCCTCTCCGAGCCATAATTATTTGCAATTTGCCTAAGTCGTCCATTTACTGATACGTCAAGCATGAAACAGAGGCAATTCCAGAAAATGGAAATGCTTCTCAAAATCAATCTTTGGGAAATAATGTGGTAGAAGTTACTGTGTGATAGAAGACTACCTTATGACTGTCACATGGAGATGAATATTAATTTGTTGAGGTTAAGGTGGCTTTGTGCTTCATTTGTTGACTTTGCTTAGCCGTCAGCAAAGCAGCACAGCCCAATTACTCCAGCAAAGCGGTTTTTTCCTAACAGGAGTTTTATGATTTTTATGTACTTACCAGTCAGCACACATAACAATGTCAAAATGTCCTTCCAGTTGAGAGACATCTGTCTCATTATCCCATCGTAAAACGCTTGAGGAAAAAAGATTTTAAAAATTATACTTAGGTTTTTTTTTTCAACTTTTGATTTTGAGCTATTAACATTTTTTGTGGCATTTGAAATCATTTAAAAGGTATATACAAATTATTTCAAAAGGTATTAAAAAACTAGGGATGTAACTGTCTGTTCTATATTTTATTTCATCTTCAAATCTAGAAAAGGAAGAATTCTCTATTTAAATGTAATAGTTAAGATTTTGTTAGTTTTTACAAACAAAGAAATACCTCTTCTTTACCATAGTTGCTACAATGATTCTGGACCCTTAACAACAACGAGATACATATTGAAATCAAAGTATTCCCCATCTGACTGGAATACAAATTTATAAAAAATAAACGATGTGAGATTTAGTGTTTATCTATCCTGCCTGGCATGCCAGTTGCATTTCTTACTGAAATGAGTAATTCAGCAAGACGGAAAAAGAAGGAATAGAAGAATAGTAAACTTTTAGTTGGCAGTTCTCAGTTTATAGGCATATTTAAAAATATGCCAGAGTTTCACCCATTTTTAACACTCAGTCTCCAAAAAAGGATGTTTTAAACTTCACACTAATAACAGTAATTAATAACATCTATTTGAAAATTCTCATTATATTTATGAAGCCAAGCAGAGATTTCAAGTTACTTTCAATTAAGAACTATGACAATTAGCATTTTACCACATTATTTTAATGATTCCTCTCTCCATCACACCAAAACTGTGATTGGCAGCACTATTTTTCAAAATAAAATTCTGCTTTTCTTTTCTAATTTGATTGCTACTTAATGCTAAACTGAGTGATCATCATATTCTACCCTATCTAGTTATAGTTACTTACCTTGGTAGGTTCTTTATTTCTTCCACATCTTCCTGAATGAAAGATGTGTTTGAATATGAAAATAAGTCTTATTTTAATAAGTCCAAAAAGTATAAGCAAAATGTGCTTATACATTAATGTACATCAGAGCTCATGAATTTCTTAAGATAGAAAGATTAAACACATCACCATGGAAACATCTGTTCGTATTGAGCACCTATATGTGTCAGGCCCTCTGCTGGTTCACAGACAGGTGGTACCTTCAGAGAGGCTCAGGGAGGCAGCCCAATGGGCCATACTCCATTGCTAGTTTCCAGTGCAGCCTTTTTCAGTCTGTAATCTTTATGAGAGAGAACAGATTACCACATCTTTCTCTCTCAGAGGGATTGGTGGGTTTGAACTGCTGAATTTTGGATTAGCAGCTAAGTCCTTAACTACTGTGCCACCAAGGCTCCTTCAGTGAGCCTTACAGACACATAAACAAATAATTCCAATGAAGTATCCTATGTGCTCTGGAAGTACACAGACTAAGCACTAGGGAAGGCTTCCCAGAAGAAAGTAAGAAATCCCAGAGAAATTAATGCTTGTTTAGGATTCCTCAGAAACTCTACAGAGCTGGGGAGAGTGAAACAGCTAACACCAAATTTCTGGAAACACTGAGACTTCCAGTATAGCCAGGAATCACGCTCAGTGTGGCAGTGGGCCTGCTCAGGCCTCATCAGAGACATAAGTGTCTTGAAGACTCTCTAATGTGAAGAAGATGATTTTAAAACTAGAGCTATACTAGACTGTCTAGATCTATACTAGACTAGTAATGTGTTTACCACACAAATTTTGGGAAATGGAGAAATATATTAAAATTACTTATAATCTTACTATTCCAAGAACAATGATAAAGAAGATGCTTTCAATACACATATAATTACTAAACGGAGTCCCTCAGTGATGCAAAGAGTTAATGTGCTTGGGTGCTAACCAAAAGACTGGAGGTTGGAGTTTACCCAGAGATGCCTCAGAAGAAAGGCTTGGTAATCTATTTTTGAAAAGTCAGCCACTGAAAACCCTATGGACCACAGTTCTACTCACACACATGGGGTCGCCATGAATTGGACTCAACCTGACAGCATGTAGTGGTGGTGGTAATTACCAAAGCACAAGAACAGAAAGTACAGGAAATCTTGTGATGATTATGGATATTGGATTCCTGAGTTACTTTAGCCTCTTGGTTCAACAAAGACAAACTGAAGAGACAGGGGTCTAGGCAGCATTTGGCTATAGATTACCACAGTTATAACAAGTCCTAATTCTAAAAGAAAATGAAATGCTTGGCTTGGTCACATGGCCACAACACATTCCCAAAGGCATTTTTCTCAAGCTTTCATGAGGCTTATGTCTACACTGTTCCCATAACCATAAGAATGTGACAGGGAGAGTAGTGCTGTTGACATTTGAACCTAGGTTCAAATCTTGGTTCCTTCCCTTACTAGCTGTTCAAACTCGGGCAAGTGTTAACCTCAGAGTTTGTTTTCTCATCTGTTAATGGGGATAAAAATGGTCAGGCTCTTGAGCACTTTAGAGGCACCATTCATTCACACTGTATTTTGGAATTCTATTGTTCATACAGCATTCTATGAGAATGGTGGCCCCTAGAGTTGTGAACGAGATGGCCTTCTGTCTTCAAAGGTTAGAGATGATGGTGATTTCAATATTCAAGGAGCTGGTCCTTCCAACACCTGGGCCTCTCAGTTCCTTAAATTCCTTTCCTCCAGTGATCCTGCTCTCTACTCTCCTCAGCCATTCTCATGAACAGCCACAGTAGAGCTGTGTTTCAGCAATGGAAAAGATCATATATCTGTTGTTTGTATTTGATCTGTTGTAGACCAATACTCTTATAAAACACAATGATGAAAAAGTAATAGAAAAATGAGATTAAAAAAGTGAAGACATTTAAAATATGAGTCCACTGTTCATGTGCTTAGACACCATTCTCCACATTTACTTCAATATCTGAGTATGCGTCATTCTGGACTAGTAACAGTTCACAGACTGGTGCCTGTACATGGTCTACTCATTGAGTAGCCCCACTCGAGACCCTGTGTTTACCAATAACTGCAACCCCAATCCACTCTCTGACCAAACCCAACCTACTCTCTGACCAACCCCAACCCACCTCCTCCTATGCTTCACAGCTCACCCTTTTTTGGTGACTGATCCTGTCACCATGTCACTGTCCCTCTTCCCCAATGTTTACCTTCCCGCTTTTATCCATTCCTTGCCCATATCAAATACCATAGCCAATAATTACTCTCATAAACATCTTTAATTGTTATCCCTCTTACTTCTTCATGTGTTAAATCCAGCTCTCTGCCTGTTCTGTGGCTATACCTGTGCACCCAAATGTGACTAGAGGAAACACACATGCATCCTGATTGGCTGTGCTTAAATTCATGACCATAAACCTCAAATGGGCTCTTAATGATGTCTGGCAGTTACTCTCCCACTTTCCTAGGTCATTATTTTGCACTTTCTACTCTCTTTTCAAAATTCTAACACCTCCTCTCTCATCCTCACTTTCAGCTGATGAGCTTGCTCCCTGCTTCACTGTCAAAATTATAACAATCAGATGAGAACTTCCATAAACTCCCACCACCATACTTAAGATCCTAACAGCATTGGCACCTACACACTCATTCTTCCTGTTATCATAGATGAACTATCCATATTCATATCTAAAGCCAGTCCCTCTGCATATACCCTAGATCCATTCCCTTTCATCTACTCTAGGACATGGCTGGCAATTCTTCCTTCTCTATGTTATCCATGCTTTCCTTTCTACTGGATCATTTCCATCAGTATTCAAACATGTAATTATTTCCCCACTCTTAAAATATCCTCTGTTGACTCCACTTTCCACTTTGGCTATTGCCCATTTTCCTATTCTTCTTCCTTTGAAAAGGTGTCTCAACTCTTTGCTTTAATTTTTCTTCCCTCAGTTTCCTTTAACAGGAGCTCTGGTAGCGTAGTCCTAAGGCATATAACTGCTAACCAGAAGGCTGGTGGTTCAAACCCACCAGCCATTCCTTGGAAGGAAGACTGGGCAATCTACTTCCGCAGAGATACAGCCTCGGAAACCCAAGGAGGGGTCACTATGAGTCAGAACTGACTCAATGGGAATGAGTGAGGTACTTAGTTATATATATATATTATAATATATATATATATAATATATAATTATAATATATAATATAATTATATATATAATAGTTATATATATATATAATATATATATAATATATATAATATATATAATATATATATATAACTAAGTACCTCACTCATTCCCATTGAGTCAGTTCTGACTCATAGTGACCCCTCCTTAGTTAGTTTCCTTTAAATCCACTTAGGCTTTTATCATCGTTGTTCCACCAGTAATGCTCTGCTCAAACTCACCAATGATCTCCAGGTTGCTAAATTCAGGTCAATTCTTAGTCTTCATCTCACTTGACCTATCAGCCTGGACTTTCCCTATGAATTCAAGACTCATATATCCAACTTCCTACTTTAATATTTCCACTTGGATATCTAATAGATCTCAACGTTAACATGCTCAGAATTGAATTTCCGATCACTTTTCCTAAAATCTAGGTCATTTGATATTTGATCGGGAGGTTTCCAACAGGGAGACAAACTTGTCTGTCAGTTTCTCCTACCGTGGTGACGTGTTGATGTGAGTTTTGAGGCTGAGCCACTGGTGTTTCAAACCCAGGGGGATGCACATGGTACAGAGGTATCAGCCCAGGTTACAGACTGAGACAGACTAGGAAGAAGGAAGAGGCCATCCACTTCTCAAAGTGGCCAGGGCAAACCTTATGAATAGCAAAGAAACACTGTTTGATACATTATCACGCAACTTTATGAATAGTCTGGTTAGGTTAGAAGGCTCTCAAAATAGGACTGGGAAAGAGCTGCATCATCTGAGTAAACCCAGCCTTACTCATATGGATAAGGTAAAGCTTTTGAGACTTCCATTTGCTGATGT